CCACACTCTCGCCACCCATATGGTAAGCGAAATATGTGGCTTACCTTTGTGCGTGAAAAGTTCACCGCCCATATGGCAAGCAAGGTCATTTCACGCACACCTCTGCCGGTCTGATCAACCATATGCTAAACCAGCCGGCAGGCGACTACGAAGAAGAGGTCACAGTCCATATGACAAGTGATGGTCTCCCCTTTGCACTTCCAGTACGTCCGCCGTCCATATGACCGCACGGACGTATGGGAAATCGAGCGAAAATCCTTTGTTATTATGGTGCGGGAAATCTTAACTCGCCAATAAATTACGTAATATTTAAAGGCTATGGTGCGGGAAATCTTAACTCGCCAATCACGTGAGTGTGTTTCAATTTTGCGTATGCAAGGTAATATAGCATATTATATAATGCAGCCAATAACATAACAAGCATTAAGCAATATAGATGTAACATATAATGCAGTCAATAATGTAGCAATAATTAAGAATGCGTTAATCATATTAAATAATTATTATTATTCATAAATAAATATTACTATAATAAAATTTTAATTGTTTATTATTTTTTATCTATTTATTAGTTTGTTTTTCTTCACTCACCTTATTTATTTATCTAACCATTTATTCTTTATTTATCCACTCCATTTGCTTTTATTATTCAATTAATATTCTCTAGGATTTTACAGTGTGACTTGAACTTATTAACTGCCTACTTAGCAACTCTATCTTCTAATTCTTTGTTATATGCATTCATATATCTTCAAGATTTGTATGCAAACTTATAAATAATAGTTATAGATAAAGATGACGCAACAAGTATGTGATGCTTATTTATTATCTATTACAATATATTGTAACTCCAAAATTTTATAAGTTGCAACTAGTTGTAACTAGATGATGCTTTATTTATCATCACATTACAATAGTTGAGGAGTTATCTTTAGTTATAGGTATACTATTAAGAACTTTTAGAATTTATTCTAATAATTCTATATAGTTATAGTTATATATTTTTCTAGTTTTCCATTTTATATAACTCTAATAGTGCTTTATAAAGTTATATTCATAATAAAATTTCAGATATCTTTCTAAAATATGATTTATATTGTTATCATTTTTGGTGTCTCTTGAAAAAGTTATTTCGTGATAGGTTAATAACTTTATATATAATATTTACCTAGAATAATATATAATAAAGATATTATGAATTACAGGTGAAAGAGATTAATATAATCATAAATATAATGTAATAGATATTAGACTATGATTATAACAAGATTAAAGGTAGGTAACAAGAGTGTGTTCATGATATGATCAGCTAGAATGTGATCTGGGATCATAATATAAGAAATATATGATAATAAATAAGATATTATTAATAAAGATCATTAATTTATAACATTATTATGTTTAAATTATTATTTCATCTTATTATTATTTAATTCATTAATTTATTCATTATTT